GAACGAAAAGAAAAGCAAAAGGATTGCAGATCTGAAAAAGGTACAATCTTATCACAATTCCTAACCAAACACAATGAGATCTATTGGATGGGAATCGAAATAATTTAATTTTCCGCTGTGCATGTATAAGTAGATTCCCAACAACAACAACAATTTCTTTGGGGATTCCATACTGCAAAATAAATTGATTAAATCTTTCATTTCAGTTGAGCTCCATTTTCTTCAATTGGATCTTGGACAACAAGTCCATCGTCACAGATCGAACAAGAAACATCAAGACCGTGGTGCTTGCCGGAGCGCTCAACGCACATGAAAAAGTCATAGGAGATGGAAGCCTATTGTCGTATTGCAGATTCCACGGCACACAATCAACGCAAATCTTGGTCCGTTGTGATTGAAGCTCTTGTGAGTTAAATGTTTCATTGGTCACTTAACTTTGGGGTACGTCACGACTTACCCACCGAACTTTCAAACTTTTTCCACTGACCACTGAACTTTAATCCGTTAACGCCCATTATCCACTGGACCAGATCTGTTAGTTGACGAGTTTACATGGCAGACGGAAAACTGAGTTGGCCCATTAAATCCTTACAATTGTTAAATGTTCTGCCAAATCAGGTCCATATCAGCAAAATGAAGACGTCTTTGAGCCCCCAAAACCAGGAGCACGCCTTTCACAGTTTCACTTTCCTTTCCTTAGACAACCCACCCAAATTGCAGAATTCGGAAACAAGGTTGAAGAAGAAATCGGAAGCGAAATAGAAACCCTAAATCCCCAAAATTGTGGTTCGACAGTCGATACCCATAGCCCGGTCCTTCCCGTCGTTGTTCTCTCGTCAAACAGCCCAAATGAAGCGTAAAGAACCAACAGCCTTCCATTTCTGCAATTCGAGCAAATGGACGGACAACATGAAGCTAAAATGTCGAACTTTTTGTGGTTTTTCATGGGTACGAAGAGTCCATTCTCGTGGTAAAGATTAATGGATAAATTTCATTTCATTTCTAGTTTGAATAATTTGGCAAGGTTATTGGATTTGGATGATGCAGTTTTCTTCTCCTTTTTTGCACCATTTTGCACCAAAATGGTGCAAAGTTTGGTGTTGGGTTGGAGCAATTTTGCACCAAAAAATGGTGCAATGGTGTTGTGGTTGGAGATGACCTTAGAAAACCCACCCAAATTGCAGAATCCAGAAACAAGGTTGAAGAAGAAATTGGAAGCGAAATAGAAACCCTAAATCCCCAAAATTGTGGTTCGACAGTCGATACCCATAGCCCGGTCCTTCCCGTCGTTGTTCTCTCGTCAAACAGCCCAAATGAAGCGTAAAGAACCAACACCCTTCCATTTCTGCAATTCGAGCAAATGGACAGACAACATGAAGCTAAAATGTCGAACTTTTTGAGGTTTTTCATGGGTACGAAGAGTCCATTCTCGTGGTAAAGATTAATGGATAAATTTCATTTCATTTCTAGTTTGAATATTTTGGCAAGGTTATTGGATTTGGATGATGCAGTTTTCTTCTCCTTCTTTTCTAACGATAATGCACATCTTTCACAATTTTTCCCATATCTCTGTATATGTGTACGGTGCACTGAGTGGTGCAACATAAAGTATAAGGCAAATGAGGGAAGAAGGGTGCAAGGGATTTATAAACTGGGCTGCAAATGGTGGACATGGGTTTCGAGGGCAGGAAAACGATGAAGTGCGAATCATAGTACCTCTACAGGAACACATGTTTGCTAATGTGTTTCCCTTTTTGACGAAAGCTGCTATGGGAGTTGGATCATTTTGTTGCAGTGAAGCAGCCATATTTCAAACAAGATTTAGAAGAACCCAAATGTATAAAGTAGACAGAACAATGGTTTTCCTTGGAACAGCAATTGAATTATGGTTCTTTCAAATGTAAATGATTTTGCAGTATAAATTGAGAACCTATTATGTATGGTTGGTTGGGTATATATTAGCAGAAATTGTGTTTGTAATCCTTTGTGTTTAAAGTTGTGTTGTTTAAACAATAAGCCATGCAAACCAATATAGAAATAAAATGTCCTGAAAATAAACTTCACACTTTTTAATATACTCAAACAAAAAAAAAATAAAAAAATGAAAAAAAATAATCTTTTTCGAATTTACCTTCAACTGGTCCGTCCACGTGCACGCCAACGAGTCCTTGCTCTGAAATGGGTGCTGCTTCTTCACACTTTGGTTGGCCTCTTCGAGCTGTCCACAACCGGGTAATTGATTTTCTTGATTTGAGGCTTCAGGTTTCGGGGGGTATGGAGGATTTCGGACGCTTAGGTAAATTTCAACTGAATTTGGGGGATTCGGGATGGAGCTTGGCCAATTGGTTTGAGAATTTCCTTCTTCGCGTTTCTTGGGATTTAGGGTTTGAGAGAGGAATGTTTCATTATGCTGACATGGACCTGATTTGGTAGAACATTTAACAATTGTAAGGATTTAACAGGCCAACTCAGTTTTTCGTCTGCCACGTAGACTTGTCAACTAAAAGATCTGGCCCGATAGGTAATGGACAGTAACGAATTAAAGTTCAGTGGCCAATGAAACATTTAACTCGAGCTCTTGCAGTTGACATAAAGTCGCCATTGATAGGTTTTATACTGAATATGAGGGATGATTAATTTAGAACAAGCGTTGCGTAATTTAAACGAAATTAATATATATATTTTTTTGTATAACTAAAAATATAATTAACACTTGATTTTTGAATAAAATTAGTTAAGTCTTGATTAATGATAATGTAATCTTAAATCCATATTTTCCTGCAATTTCCTCTTCTTGGACCTCCATTTAAAAATTGAGGTCTACGTTCACGAGACATAAACAATGCAATTTTAAAGATATCCCAAAAAAAAATAATAATAATAAATAAATAAAATAAAAAATCATTGACTGTCAATATACAAATTACTATTAATTGTATGGTTGAATGTATAAACATTAGAATCTTATTTAATCCACCGGATAATTTAATGAATAGTATATGTTACTACTTGCTTACTGATCTTTAAACAGTTACTCGTCGCTCACTTAACTTTGCTATATAATACTACTTACTCATCGAAGTTTAAAATGTTACTCATTACTTACCTAAATTTGAATAAAGTTGCTTGTTATTCACTAAACTTTGCAATTGGTAACACTCATGGAAATGATATGGGTGATTAATGGTAACTTTGTTTAAATTTGAGTGAGTAATAAGTAACCTATTAAATTTTGGTGAGCAAGTGGTAACCCATAGCAAAGTTTAGTGAATAAAGAGTAACCTTTTAAATTTCAATAAGCAAGTAGCAATCTATAGTAAAATTTAGTGACCATCGATTAAATTAACTCCCACTTATTTCTACATTTCCAATACTTTGACGAGTGCAAAATGCTAGAAATGTATCGTGCTATAATTAAGTTTCGTCGCACTTATCATTATCAACGTAGATATTGCAAGTTGCTTCAAGATAATATGGCCCCCTTTCTTTCAAATTTTAATGTTTTGAATAGTATTTTTGTTGAAAAATGCGTGAATGAGAAAGAAAGAAAAATTTTCGATTTACATGTATTTCTATTTTATAAAAGATTATGCGATTGAAAGTAAGAGTGAAAAGATAAAATTGAAAGAACGAGCCAAGAAATGATAACGCCACTACTCTCTGTGGTAGATTTACAGTTGGAGAAAGTGGGATCAACGACTCCCACTCTAAATTTCATATCCAAGATTTTACAAAATTTTGCGCAAGATTTTTAAAAAATTCCTTTTAGTTTTCAATTTTAACCTCACAATTAAAATTTCTTAGAATTTGCTCTCCAAACTCTACAATTCTAGCTCTGCCCCTGACCATTTCTGTGAACATGTTCTGAACATTGAAGTGACTGGGCAATACTACAGTCGAAATTTTAATTTTTTTTTTTTTTTTTTGACACTGTTTGCTCGACCTTACCACACATTTTCATAAGAACATGTTTGAAGGGAGCATGAGAAAAGTCAACTTGTACTTTATAAACATTCTAATAAGTGAGAGAGAGAGAGAGAGAGGGCGAGACCGCAAATGTTCTAATTTATTTCAGGGAGGTCATGACCATATATCATTGATTGCAACAGCAATTCCAAATGCAACAAATCCATCAAAGCACAAAAGGTGAATAGATCCACCTAGTTTTACAAGAACTTAAACATAAAGGATAGACAAAAAATAGGCCAACACACCCAAATTGCAGCACGTGAATTAAGATTATGCATCGGCAAATCTGCAAAGTAAATGCATAGAAGCAAATGTAACCTTTCCATATAAAGAAGCTAAAAACTTTAAGCAAGAGTCGAAAAATTAATAGTTAATGAATCGCTTTATGGCCATTACCCCAATTCAGAAAGTTTCAGGTGAGCCTCGGCATAATCGGCAAAGAAGGCATCTTCATCCTGACAGAGAGTAACACATTATTAAATTCGAAGGACGTGCAGTTGCTAATAAAGCAGTAGTGGGAGGTAAAATGGATCAACCAACCGCAGCATATTTCTCAACGAGTGGGTGAAAGATGGAATCAGAGAGAAGAGCCTTGTCAGATGGCAACTGCAGAAGTCCTTCTTTCTCGCCACTCAGAAGCTCCCTAAGAGAGACAAGTGGAAGCATAATGTTACTTGGTGCATCTGCACTGAAGGTAAGATTAACTGAAAAAAAAAGCACATACGAGAGCAAAATAATATGATTTATGTTTTGTACTGAGAAGTTGTGAACCCGTGTGCATTAGCCGACGTACATTTGGAGCTTGTTTATGATAAAACCTACCAGACTGTCATAAAAGCTTTATCTATTCTCAGTTTACATATTTGCACTTGTATGTGAGCTGACCTCTAGGTTAAATGGTTTCGAATTCTAAATAAGTGAAATATATATTTCCATCCATTTTAAAAACTTTCTCAGTATATTTTTCAGCTCACAAAGTTAAAACGGAGTCATGCTCTTCAATCGTGTGTCAGTTTGTGCTTTCATTTCATAAGAGCTCTACTATCAATAAACAAAAATCAGTTCCCCTATCTATTTTAAAGCATGTTTTGGAAGTGTCTATAAAAGAATTTAAATTATAAATTGATAGAAATGACTAGTGGATAAGTGGATAGTAATTGTGGCTCCCTCTAATATGTGGATAAAAAGTGGCTTAATTGTTTATAAACATGAGCCAAACATAGGCTTAGGATATATGTTTTGACTACCTTAAATTCTACTTTATATTCATTTTTATAGCTTCATAATCTTTATCATCTGAATTGGAGTGATCTTTTTGTTGACAATCTTATGAAAGAATATATTACACACAGAAAGCCATTAGGTGGTCTATCGCTTCTACTCCCCCCGGCTTTTAGTCCTAACTCAGAAAGTGTGGGTGGAGCTCATCATGATTCTGCAAAAGACCTTATGAAGGAAGCATCGGTTGAACTAGAGCAGTTACTTATACATGCCAACACCCCTGTCAGTGAAACATTTACTTTCGTTGAATTTAATCAGCGATTCTTTTTTCTGTTGGTTGTGTAAAGCATACATATTGGCATTTTCGATGTACCTGTATCTAGAGACACGATTAAGATATTTGTACTTACTTCTACCTGTTCATTTGAAGAGAACATAAAGGGAATGCAATTCTGTTTATGGATACTGAAATGTATCACTTGGATCACCTGTGAATACAAGGACTAGCATGCTTGAAGTCATAGCTTTTTAGCAATGTCTGGCTTATTAATTTAACATGAGACCCATAAAGTTGTTATCTTCTTTATTGACTTAAACACTTCATGCTCCATCTGTCAATTTTACGTATCTGAATTTTGATTCAGCTATCATCTTATGTTTCAGTATCCAAGAAATAGCATTAAAAAAAAGAAGATCAAATTGTGAAAATATAACAAAAATAGGTGAATATGAATAATGAGTAGGTCTTACTTGAAGTAAGAATTATCGAAGATGAGGGGATTGGAAGTCCAGGGTCCCTCGAATCCAGAACGTTCCTTGTGGCATCTTCCCTATTGACAAATTTCACCATGTGAAAGTCAAGCTGCAGTCCTCAGTATCTAACAAATAGAAAAATGACAGCAAGTACAAACCAGGGTGTGGCCGCCAGAGAGTGCAACAATATCCTTGTCACTCAAACCCATTTGTTTGATAAAGACATCCCTCAAATGGTCAGATCCTAATACCATAATTTAAGTTTAGATTGACAAGAAACTTGCCATGTACCACCTTACCGGGAGACATTAAGAAAATTTGAGATTATTTTAGATTTTAAATAACAAAACAATTTTCACTCACCCTTTGTAGCATCAGGCAAACGACCTTCAACAGGTGGCTCATTCTTGTCCTGAGATTTAACCAAGCATCAATTTCTTTTCCAATGCAAAAAGACGTTTACTTTCAGCAAAATTTAAAACACAAACAGGGCAGAATGTCATTCCTATATAAAGGGCGAAACAAAATGAGCTTTCAATTAACTGAGAAGCTCCACGTTATTTAAATGTATTTGTTCTCATATAAAAGTAAGACTTAACACGTCTCGTCTATTTTCAGGGGGATCTGAAGTGGGGAAACTAATCAGAAAAGGTGCATAAAATGATATAATAATGAGTCAATAGCTAGATTATTCACCTTAAAAATAATTGGCTGCCCTATAATTTATATACTATTGAGTCAACAATGTAAGAAATGGAGTTCAGCGACAAGCAGAAAGTAAGATGCGTATTGTTAGTGGGCATAGACCAGTATTAGGATACTTAAGAGAAATTGAACACTTGAGAAGGCACCCTAGTCAAATCGGAAGCATCTTGCAAGTGCTACTAGAACCAAAGCTGACAAAGTAGACTGGTAGGAGGTAGCCTCGACTTTATTGAATATTTAACAAATTTTGGAATTGAGCTCATATTTGAACACGGTATTAGACACAATGCAACAGTATAATGTATAACAAACAAAATTTTATTTTATTTTTCATCCTTATTATTGCTGAGTACCATTTCCATGCAAGGTTCTCAACTGATTGGCAAAACGTAAGATGAACATGCCTTATCCATTTAATCTTTAGGAAAAAGAAAAAAAAAAAAAAAAAAAAAAAAAAGAATGAACAGGCTCCAATTGCTGACTCTATAGCCACAAATGCCTCCATCATGCCCATGTTTAAGTTGAGCACCATTCTTTAAAAACTCATTTTTAACCACACATTCTCCCATTAAAATAATTTTACACTTAAATCCAAAACTTTTTTCCTTACTTTTTAACCACATATTCTCCTAAAAATCACTATCACAAAATCTATTCTTCCCAAAAAATGAGGCTCAAACACCCTAAAACTAATTTTTTTTCCTGCAAATCAGACAGTCGAGATTTTTTGCTAAAGGAAACAAACAGCCACCTATCTTTTAATGCAATGTAGCAGACATATCAACACAATACAATCAAGAGTTCAAGTTGTACATTCCAAAATCATTTCTCTTCGAAGTATTCCCTTCATGCTTAAAACTAAAATTGGGCAAGTAAAGTAGACAGAACATTGTACAACTTTCTATTTAAAGTACACGGCACAATAACATCGAAGTTTCCCTTAGCATTGCTCCACGAACCAGAAGATAAAATAATGATAGTGCATAAAAATATATACACGCCTATACATGTGAAATGCAATAAAACATTGAGTGGTGTGTGAATCTATTTCAGGAAAAAGAAATTTCACTAACCTGCCTTCCTGGGTGGAATGGAACTTCGGGTCCTCCTGTAACTTCAACAGCAACAACTCCAGCCAACTTCATGCAAGGAAATAGTATAAAATAGTTCAATTTCTTTAGTAATTAATATAAAACCCAACACGGGAACACCAAATCAAATCCCAACATACATTCACGCATCCATACACAGGAAGCGAAACCTACCTGATAGAAATCAGCATAAGAAAGGATGGGAAATAGCTCTTTTATGGGCTCCAAGAGCCCAATAGCAATGTCAATGCCATTATTGGCTGAGTGTGCCTGCTCAGCCTTAAGCCTCATGGTCCCAAAAGGACCTCCAGTTTTGCTGCAAACATCAAACGTACCAGCAGAGTGCCATCTACAACCATACACAAAATTTCCACCATCACCAATCATTAATTTAGGTAATTCAAAATAATCAACACATAAATACACAGAATAGGTATATGTATTTCCCAAGAAAATGATACGCCAGAGCGAAATCGCGTTTGTGATACAATTTAATTGTATCTCACATTCTGCTTGAAGCACAACTCATAAATTTACAAGTGTTTTTAGCATCGCTCACTCTCTTGTTTGACTTTGATTGTGAAAAATAACAAATATTTCAAGTTTACTTATACTTAACCCTATAGCTTGCTACTTTGAACCTAAAAGAAACAATATTAGAATATTTAGCGTCATTTTATTAACAAATGCAATTAAATTTTCTCACTATTGTGAAAAATCACTGAAAACCAAAAGAAAGCCAGAAATAAATTAATCTTACGCGAGACGGAGCATGAGAGGAGCGCAGTTCTTATAAGCAATGAGCGCTCTTAACTGTCTCTTGCATTTTACAACGGCCTTCTGGTAATCCTCACTCACAGTTGGATAACTTTTTCCCATTTCAACGTCTCTTCAACAATCAGGTTTTTCACATCAATATGCAAAAATCAATATATAAACAAGCATTTCTACAAAGTTAAATAGCAAAACAAGATATATGCATTAAAACAGAGTCTAGAAATCATTTATCAAAAGATGATTTAGAGAGAGAGCTGTCAACCATGCTGACCTTAAAAGTTAAAATTTTGAAAGAAATTGTAAAAAAACCCTAGCAGTAGAGTGTGGAGAGCACGGACACAGAGCTAAAGAAGGGGAGATTGGACTTTTGAGTTATTTGATCGGGGGAAATTGACGGTCAAGATTCGCATATGTGCTTTGGAATATAACAGAACGAATGCATCGTGTTGATTGATAACGAATAAAAAATGTGGAAATTGAGCCATGATTCTAATCGGGTGTTTTTATTGGTCTTCCAAAACTTTTATACCTTGTTTAATCCCCGTTCGTTATATGAATGTGTGATTGAAAATATGTCCTGTTTGGTATCTATTTTTTTCAAAATATATTTTTTCTCTTTTCTTTTCAATCACACATTTTCTATTAAAATAATATTACACGTAAATCACAAATTTTTCTTTATTTTTCAACCACACATTTTCCATCGATTTACTATTCAAAAATACATTTTTACATAAAAATGTCCCCCAAACACCAAGTATATGAAAAAAAAAATTTGAACAAAAATAAAGATGAACAGGTGCTCAATTACAAAGCAAAATTCTTGACTAATTAATTCTAATGATAGGTTTTTTTAAAATGTATTGTTTGTTTTTAGTGGTAGTATAAAATGATTTGTTCTAAGTTGATAAGATTAACAATTTGACGCATAGTGTAGAGTTTGATGTTAAGAAGGTGCTTGGTAGAGATTAAAATTAGATTATTTTAGTAGATTGTGATAAAAAATTTTGAAATGTGTGCTTGAAAAGCGATGGAATCCATAAAAGAAGTGATTGACATTGTTATTTGACTTTAAATTAGGATGTGTTTGTCACCCATTATTTAGAAAAAATATATTATGAAATCAGCCTTAAGCCTCATGGTCCCAAAAGGACCTCCAGTTTTGCTGCAAACATCAAACGTACCAGCAGAGTGCCATCTACAACCATGCACAAAATTTCCACCATCACCAATCATTAATTTAGGTAATTCAAAATAATCAACACATAAATACACAGAATAGGTATATGTATTTCCCAAGAAAATGATACGCCAGAGCGAAATCGCGTTTGTGATACAATCTTAATTGTATCTCACATTCTGCTTGAAGCACTATAATGATTGATGTTGAAATGTGTGGTTAAAAAATAAGAATTTTTTTGATTTACGTGTAATATTATTTTAATGAATAATGTGTGATTGAAAATGAGTACGATAGAAAAAATAATGAGAAAGAAAGAGAGAAAATGGATGACAAACGGGGCTTAAATTAAAATCAATTTGTACCAAACATGATTCAAAAATTTCGCCAAACCACACATAAAAAGGAAAAACAGTTCCCATAGCTGGCCTATGCCTGGAACTAAATTGGCCAATTATTCGACCTTGCGAAGTTAAGCCAACTTTGGATAAAACTTTTCTTAAAGTGGTTTTCCCTTCGCTATTTTCAATAACCAAATAATAATAATAATAATAATAATTCCAAGTTTTCTCATATCTTTTTTGCTTTTTTAACTATATACACGTTCTTCAAAAATAATTTCAAAACAAGTATCAAACAAGGACTACATTTTTTTCAAAATAATGTTATATGCGGTCGTCCTACATGACATACAGATGACAAGTAATTATTTGATGCATAAATAAAAAACTATTACATTAATGTATCAAATAACCATCTGATATATATATATATATATATATATATATGTCACGTAGAATAATTATCATAGTGAGCGATTACGAATAAAATTACTATTTTTTTAATTACTAAGTTATAAATGTATTGAGCTTATCAAGCCACTAAGAACTTAATTATCAAGCTATCATTTGTTGGGTAAGAATGTAAAATGAGGCAGTGATAAGTTACAATTACATTTTGACACATTAATACGTAAAATTTGATAACAAGCCCTTGTTTATAGTGATTTTTAGGAGAATATATAATTATAAAGTAGGAAATTTTTTTGAATGTATGTACAAAATATTATATTTTATAAATTTGTAGTTAAAACTGAGGATATAAAAAAAATTCAAATAATGATTGTCAAACAATGACGAAGTTTAACACAACTCAAAATTTTTGCAATACTAGGATTAGAAAGGACAAAATTTTGCCACGGCCGATCCATGCCTATCATTAGACCTTTAGATGCCAAAGTTTGTACTTACAAGGTAATCAAAATCTTAATTATTAAGCGTCCTTTATGAAAGGAATATTTTAATTTAGTACTACATCTCAAACTCTTTAATCAATGTACGATGAAATAACCTTCTAAGATTATCATCGGAAAATTTGTCAATGGGCCAAAAAGTCAACACTAACCTCAATTTTCACCAATTTAATCAAGGTGTATTTTAACTTTTAATTAATTAGAAACCCCGCACCCAAAAAAAAAAAAAAATGAAAAAAGAAGAGGGAACTTAAAATTAAAAAGCATTCATCTTCCCCCATCCACCCAAACCTAACCACGACAAACTCTCCTGCATTAAATTGATCAAATTAAGGTTAAGCGTGAGACTTTTCGTCAACTGATATGTTTGGGATGTATGTGTTAAGATTAGAATGTGTGGGACTGGGTTGCACATTTTTGAAAAAAATTGGGACATCTATTGTAAAATTTTCAATTATAAAATAATTTATAATTGATTAAACTTCAACTAAACCATATATTTAAATAGACTAATCATTTAAACCACGCATTCTATTTTAAAATTATCTATTGCTAATGCATACAAAGGCTAAGACCTTGTTTGAGCCACATTAATATAAGAATGTGAATGAAAAATATGATCGTTATGGACTCCACACAAGATATAGAAAGTGAAATATGATGACTTGATGTGATAAATAACGATCATATTTTTCAACTTAATGTTCTTTATAATAGAAATTCCCTTGGATAAAAACATCCAACCAACACAATCCTACTAGGAGTACACTACCTACTCCTATAAAAGCAGAACCTTGGGCCATTATTCAGGTACGTTTTTCTCATTGTTCTTCAGCATATAGCCTCACGCATATATTTCCCTTTCTGACTTAAACATCGGAGGGGCGACGAGAACACACCTCGTTGCCTTTGTTTCAGGTATCGGAAGATCACGTTCGTGCTCATCATCAGTCATCAAGCTCGGAAAATCTACAGGTACGATTTTTGGTAGCATCACCGCGTTTTCAGTTTTTTCAAGTTTTACACTGAAAACGCCCAAAACGACAAAAAAGTCGTTTTGTGTTTTCTTCACAAATTTTTTTTTCGTTTTCGAAAATAGGAAAGAGAACATGTTTTCACCGTTTTGAAAAATCGAAAACAGAAAACGGCCCGAAAACGGTAAAGAGAACAGGGTTCAGTACTTGAAGAATTTTAAAATTGATGCCAAATCCAATACGGTTCAAATATTTGACCAAAGTAGACTTAAAGGGACAAAAAGGTTTCTGCAGCCGGTCCACACCTACGCCCTACCAACCTGACCAATTATTCGACCTTGCATAGTTTTTATTTATTTATTATTAAAGCTATATCCAGATATAACAAGCTTTAATTGACGTTGAAAATCTTAATTAGTTCACCGCACTAGCGAGTCCAATAGAAAACTTCTGGTATAAATCGTTGGTTGATTCACACAAATCGACTTGCGCAATGAACGAGTTAGCTAGCTCATGTGCGAATTATCGGCTTTATCATAAAGTGAACAAAAAGCAATTTTAGTAAAAAAAAAAATTGACGAATCACGAGCGATTCATGAATTGAATTGCACGATAGATCGAGTCAAATCCAATAATAACGAACCAAGCCACTCGAGTCAATCCATTTAGCCATCCTACCTAATTTCTAGATGTTTTTCAAGTGAATTATTTCTTGTATACAGTGAATAATTTCACACGGTCTTTACAGATCCTTACTTGGAGTCGGGCCTCATGCTATTTTTTTTTTCCAAAAATGAACTATCCGCTCTATTTGTTGTGTCTTACTTGTATTAACCCTGTGAAGTTTGACCTATATATTTAAAATTTGATAACAAGCCCTTGTTTATAGTGATTTTTAGGAGAATATATAATTATAAAGTAGGAAATTTTTTTGAATGTATGTACAAAATATTATATTTTATAAATTTGTAGTTAAAACTGAGGATATAAAAAAAATTCAAATAATGATTGTCAAACAATGACGAAGTTTAACACAACTCAAAATTTTTGCAATACTAGGATTAGAAAGGACAAAATTTTGCCACGGCCGATCCATGCCTATCATTAGACCTTTAGATGCCAAAGTTTGTACTTACAAGGTAATCAAAATCTTAATTATTAAGCGTCCTTTATGAAAGGAATATTTTAATTTAGTACTACATCTCAAACTCTTTAATCAATGTACGATGAAATAACCTTCTAAGATTATCATCGGAAAATTTGTCAATGGGCCAAAAAGTCAACACTAACCTCAATTTTCACCAATTTAATCAAGGTGTATTTTAACTTTTAATTAATTAGAAACCCCGCACCCAAAAAAAAAAAAAAATGAAAAAAGAAGAGGGAACTTAAAATTAAAAAGCATTCATCTTCCCCCATCCACCCAAACCTAACCACGACAAACTCTCCTGCATTAAATTGATCAAATTAAGGTTAAGCGTGAGACTTTTCGTCAACTGATATGTTTGGGATGTATGTGTTAAGATTAGAATGTGTGGGACTGGGTTGCACATTTTTGAAAAAAATTGGGACATCTATTGTAAAATTTTCAATTATAAAATAATTTATAATTGATTAAACTTCAACTAAACCATATATTTAAATAGACTAATCATTTAAACCACGCATTCTATTTTAAAATTATCTATTGCTAATGCATACAAAGGCTAAGACCTTGTTTGAGCCACATTAATATAAGAATGTGAATGAAAAATATGATCGTTATGGACTCCACACAAGATATAGAAAGTGAAATATGATGACTTGATGTGATAAATAACGATCATATTTTTCAACTTAATGGGTAAATAATGAGAAACAATCAGGGGCTAAGTATTATTTGCTTTACTGTGTAAAACAAACCTTCTAAGTTGATATTTAGCCCATGTTTGAGAACTATTAAAATAAATTTTTTCTGAAACTCAATTTTTACATTGCATTTTCATAATAAAATATTTATACGTAAATCTAATTTTTTTTTGACTTTTAACTACGCATTCTCTCAAAAAAATAATTATTCCAAAAAATTCATTTTAATAGCGGTCAAACAGTTTGGGAGCGATTTTTTCTCTTAAAAAATTAATTTTTTGACCGTTATTTCATTATTTCAGCTGTCATAATTGACTTCTTCTCTCAGAAGTAGACCCCACTTTTTTACTAACGATAAAAAATTCAATTCTCAAAATCATTTCTAAACAAGCTCCTAATACTTGAAGAATTTTAAAATTGATGCCAAATCCAATACGGTTCAAATATTTGACCAAAGTAGACTTAAAGGGGCAAAAAGTTTCTGCAGCCGGTCCACACCTACGCCCTACCAACCTGACCAATTATTCGACCTTGCATAGTTTTTATTTATTTATTATTAAAGCTATATCCAGATATAACAAGCTTTAATTGACGGTGAAAATCTTTTAATTAGTTCACCGCACTAGCGAGTCCAATAGAAAACTTCTCGTATAAATCGTTAGTTGATTCACACAAATCGACTTGCGCAATGAACGAGTTAGCTAGCTCATGTGCGAATTATCGGCTTTATCATAAAGTGAATAGAAAAGCAATTTTAGTAAAAAAAAATTGACGAATCACGAGCGATTCATGAATCGAATTGCACGATTAATCCAGTCAAATCCAATAATAACGAACCAAACCACTCGAGTCAATCCATTTAGCAATCCTACCTAATTTTAAGCCCATATCACGGTTTTAAAAACTATTATATCGCAATTTCTAGATGTTTTTAAAGTGAATAATTTTTTGTGTACAGTGAATAATTTCACACGGTCTTTACAGATCCTTACATGGGGTCGGGCCTCATGCGATTTTTTTTTTTTCCAAAAATGAACTATCCACTCTATTTGTTGTGTCCTACTTGTATTAACCCTGTGAAGTTTGACCCTATACATTTAGCACGCTTGTTTTCAAGTTTCAAAATCAAACGGCTGCTGAGACGCGTTGTTACTACCACTGGTGACAAATCGACAGCTGTGTGAGATAATACGTAGTCTTTGTAATAAAGAAAAAGAGCACAAAAAATTTAGCGCTTTAATAATACATTTAATCCAATTACGTGGCAATCAACTACTGGTAGAGATGCACCGTATAATTCCAAAAATTGTACAGTGGAAAAAAGGGGGCCAAGAAGAGAGAGAAAAACTTCTCTGTGTCTCCATTGTGTCTCTCTCTAGAATGTCTCTTTCTTCTCATCCGTGTTCCTCTGTAGCTGAGAGCGAGAGAGAGATTTAAAATTTATTATTTGAATACTCGCACAAATATATATATGAACTTTTCTTTGTAGAAGCACTGTTTAATTATATGTTTAGTAGAGAGAGGAAGATTGGAGAAGGAATGGGGTGTTTCTGTTGTTATGGAGAATCGTCAGTCCAAAAACCAGTGGAAAGGCAAAACAACTCCACCAACAATCAATATAAAGAAGATGATTTTGCACAGCCCATACCAGGTTCGTATTTTATACGGAACCTATTTGAAAATATGGGGATTTTTTATTTTTTTTATTTTTTGAAGAATTTACAACATTTGTGCTCCCCATTTTGAATGTGTGTTTCCAGGGAATTTTTCTTTTTCTGTGAATGATCTTATGTGCTGATACCCAGTTTCTTATATTTCTTTGTCCAATTAATTTTCGTTGATTTCGCCATTCACTTTGGGGTTTTTTTTTTTTACCTGCATGGGTGTATTTTTCCTGGATTTCAGATCATGTCGAACAAATCATGATTTTTCTTGAATTTTTATTTTCAGGTTTATGTCTACATGATTTATGGATGTTTCTGTGATTGGTCATATTTTATAAGAAGTTTCTAGAGCACCTCTTTTACTGTTTCCGATGGTATTAATGCTGATGATTATTGCCGTGCATAAATTATATTTTGGGAAAAAAATATAATTTAATATTTGTTTTTTTTTCTTTTTATTTTGTCCTTTTATGCAGTTTCTGTGTCTGTTCTTTAAATTCTTAGCAAGTGTACTTATCCTCGTATTAGTCTCTACGTGTCTGGATGTGAATCAATTGTTTGTCTTTATATATAATTTCCCATGTGCTCTGTACGTCCTTTTCCGGACTTGTTCATATGGGTTACAAGTCTCATATTTCCTCTGATATTCTTGTTATAGATGCATCGAAGGTGAGGCCACAAAACTGTGTAAAGGAGGAGTCGAAAGTCTTAGTAAATCAACCTGCAGTTGAAAAGGATGCAGATGCTAGTAAGAGGACATCTGCTGATGAAGAGAGCAATGCCATTAAAGCACGGAAATTTACATTTGCGGAATTGGTGGCTGCAACAGAGAACTTCAAGTCGGATTATTTTTTGGGCGAGGGAGGTTTTGGAAAAGTTTATAAAGGTCATTTGCAGGATAGTGGCCAGGTAAGTGGAACTCGTTCTGTATCATGTAATTTGTAGTAGTTAAAATGATAAAATTAATTCTTAGTCGAAGTTGCTTCGATGTAGATAGTAGCTATCAAGCAACTGGACCGCAATGGATGTCAAGGGATTAGGGAATTTGTCGTTGAAATGTTAACATTAAGTATGGCTGATCACCCTAATCTTGTTAAGTTAATTGGTTATTGTGCTGAGGGAGATCAGAGGCTGTTGGTCTATGAGTACATGCCGCTGGGTTCATTGGAGGACCATTTACATGGTAAAGCTCAATCTCATTTCCCCTTTTTTAATATCTTTTGTATCCCTTTATTTTTTCAAGACTCGGCAGTTTACTTGCTTTGCTTTATTTTTATAGACCTTCGACCCAATAAAGAACCACTTGATTGGAATACACGAATGAAGATAGCAGCTGGTGCAGCTAAAGGCCTAGAGTATCTGCACGACAAGATGAAACCGCCTGTCATATATCGGGATCTGAAATGCTCCAACATTTTGCTTGGTGAGGGATATCATCCCAAGCTATCTGATTTTGGTTTGGCAAAAGTGGGTCCTTCTGGAGATCAAACTCACGTTTCCACCAGAGTGATGGGAACTTATGGATACTGTGCACCAGATTATGCAATGACTGGCCAACTGACATTCAAATCGGATATTTACAGCTTTGGGGTTGTTCTTTTGGAGATCATCACGGGCAGAAAAGCAATTGACGAAACAAGAGAAGGCACTGCGAAAAATCTGGTTGCATGGGTAAGTTATTGCTTATAAGTTATCACCATTCTTTGCCTGTTGTTGATATGTTTCATAATTGAATTGTTGAGCCGACATTTCTTGCTCTTGCTTCAACGGGGTTGCTTTTTTGTCAAAATATTATGAAATGTTGTAGTACCCATCTTATCTACTTGCTTTGAATCTTTTAGTAGATCTAGCAATGAATGGAAGGCGAAATAAGATTCTTTTATCGTCTACTATGATTTTATCGAGAACAATACTTTGCCGTTATTGTTGTATTAGCCATTTTGGCTTCTTCAGATAATGAACCGGTCCTGTGTAATAATTGGTTTTTTTAGTTCTAAGTTTTTGCAATATCTCGCGGCCATTAACGAAGACTCCCTCATTGTTTTTGATCTTCAACAAGAAAGTGACGTATAGTTCCCTGCCATAGTCAGCCCTTGAACTGAAAATTGTATACAAGCGCTTTCAATTCTCTTTATAAATATTCGTCTGTGTTGACATGCTCGAGAGGTGTGTAATATTCTTTTGTTAAGTTCTTACTGAAATTATTTGCAAAGGTTTGCGTAAAATTGTCTTCAAGATATGTAATTTCATATCTTGAATTGTTTCTAATAGTGTGTAGGGTTCCTCCACCTAAGAAATGCTGCACTGTTGGATGATTTTACTAAATTTATTTTCTGATATGAAGATTAGGAATAGCGTGTTTTGGATTCACATTTAATATAATACAGAACAAATGTGCTTTTAAGAATGCATGAGGTATGCAGGAATCTTAGCCCGCTGAAAAGTAAAGTCTTCTACCAGATTTATGATTACAACTTTCCGTGTTTGTTTGCAGGCCCGACCATTGTTCAAGGACCGAAAGAAATTCTACAAAATGGCGGATCCAGCACTCAATGGACAATATCCTGTGAGAGGCTTGTACCAAGCCCTTGCAATCGCTGCTATGTGCGTCCAGGAGCAACCTAACACGCGGCCGCTCATTGTTGACATTGTTTCAGCATTGAATTACCTAGCCTCCCAGTCATATGATCCTAATATCCATCAATCCCAAATTCAAATTCCACGGAGCCCGTCTTCTCATATGTTTAAAGGAGACAAGCAGCAAGAACCTTTTAGTGGTGACTAATATACCTGTTTATCAGAATTTGCACCTCACATGATAACAGGTGCTGCTTCATACCATTACATTACTACTACTGCAGAGATAATGCCTTTATGTGCACATATTCTTCCGTAAATGACAGATTATGTTAATATTCTAATGCATGTTACTTTTCTTGCTACGACGATAAGTATACTAATTGATATACTTTTAATTTTTTAAACAATCCAGAAGTCGGTTGAATAGGTTGTCTGGATTGTTTTAGCCAATTTTATAATTTTGAGAACTTTTTCTTCAGAGATTGAGCATTAATATTGCTATACTGATCACACACACACACTTGAAAGACTCAACGTGCCCTTGAGTCAGTGCCAAGACTGTCATTGCTTACTACTTAACATGACTTTTGCATGGACTTTAATCTAGTAATCATGCTACATGTACATCATATTTTACATTTTTTTTTAACATTGTGTCACGTGGCAGCACACTATTGGACAGTTTAAAAAACAAACAGTTTTTTCAACAATCAAAATTTTCCAACTCAGGAGATGTCAAGGATGACGTACACTTTTGGTGTACAAATGAATTTTCCCTTAATCTGGAGTACCTTACGCAACCAATGCTCCCTGTGGTGTAACATTGCTTATCGAAGAAAATCTACGAAATTGTTTTTTCTATTGATCCTGAAATTGTTGCCTATTAATTAGTGTCATAATGATTCAGTTCATATGCCTGTTGATCATATTCTCCATTTTCATCTTGCAACCAAACAGTGAATCTTTATATAATGAAAGTTGAGAGCTCCTTGCCGATGAATATTGTAGGGACAAATATTCTAATGGGAGTATTTTGCTTTGTTTCATGTTGCTACCAAGCTCTATTTTGAATATTAAGAGGAAATTTAATGTTGAGTCGCTTGACATTTATGTTTATATATTTGATGGCCATCAAATTAATGTAGATGTCATCTTTTTAGCACTTTGTCCAATGCTGACAATTATGTGGTCCAATATTGAATTAAATTGAAATATTGAAATTGTTGACCTCAAAATCTGGTTGTTCCCCAAGTCAACAAAACACGACCACCATTACATCCACCTCTAAATCTCCCAAACATGTAGGACACATTAGAGTGAAGATTGTCTAACTGGAAGGGGGTGCTACATTCATTTGTACTTCGACTTTCAACTCAAAATATAGAGATTAATTTATTATCAAATGTAACTACTAGTTGTTGATATGAAATATGTACGACTTTGGTCTAGTTGTTGATATGAAATATGTACAACTTTGGTTAAGTGAATGATATGCTTCATTTATTGGCTATCAGCCAATTGATTTTCGTTAGTCGAGGTGATGAAATTTGATGGAGTTATCTTATTTAACAAAATTAATTACGATTACTTTATTGATATTAGAGGAAAGTATAGTCATATGAATGGAATTTTTCCTTTGGTTATGCTTGAAAGATATTTTACTATACCTACTTTCTCAAAATGTAATTTTGAAAATCATATTTGGTAAAATAAGTAACTTAAAAAATTTGACACAACCGTGCATGGTCTTCTTCAGATAGATGTCTTTCGTGGGCAAAGCTAAGAACTACATTGTTCGAAGAATGCGAGTATTCAAAGTGGACGGAGTTCAATTTTCCCGAAAATAATTACAATGATCATGTTGAATAAATTGATGTATAAATTATATTTCATTAAACAAAATTACGTACATGTAATAATAATTAAAATGCGACTTGCACTTGCAAAATATTGAATAGAATTAAAACATATTGAAATTAGGGAGATTTTTCTAATTGGCCTATTACTATTTATTTTCATTAAAAAATTTATATTACCCTTAATGAAATAATTCTTTCTATATTGCACAATATATCTCAATCCTTTTAAATTATATTCTATTTTGAATTTTTGAATATAAATTCATTCTATGATTTAATAAATTAAAATAATTTGCAACATGTTCATATTTTTTATTTAATATATTATATTCTTCATATGATAAATTTATATTTTTTAATTGAGAAATAATATTTTTTATTTTTTCTAACATTTTTTCTAATAGATTATCTAATCATTCAATTGTATATCCTGACATTCAATCATACAAATAATCCCTACGATTCTCTAAGATCTTAAAAATATTCGTTCAAATTTTAGCAAAAATTAAATAGTCTTACCTTAGTTCTAATCTGGATATTTATTTTTAGAATCGAGTGACCTTCGAGTTTTGAATATGTAAACTGCTTTCGTCAATGGCATCTTGCCTTAACGGAATTTTTACTATTTCAGCTTCTTAGTCTCACTGTATCAATTCCAAAGAATAAATCTCTAGATTTGTTTTAAAGAAAAGCTCTTTTTGCTAAAATGAGAAAGAAACATTCTATTAGATAAAGAAACATTCTATTAGATCCTTCAATAACAATACCTCTATTTATACAAACTTATGAGGCTCTATTATTGATCTATTTATATCATTGTATACATCAAACATTTGAAAAGGCGCACATGCATTTCTATTATTGTTCTCATGGGGTCTACATCTTCATATGTAACTTCAACTTTTTATCCAATGAGCATCTTTTCCTCTATTATTGTCCCCTTTTCTTTATGTCTTAACATGCAGTTGAGACAATTTCTTAGCTGGCAAGATTCTTTGATAGTGGTCAGACATCCTGAAAATTGATGTATGTCGAATTTTGTAATATAATCCTTTAAGATTTCTGATTTTCCATGTCCTCCATGTGAAACTAGCATCCAATTTTGATATTGACATAAACATGAGAATACTGCCTTCGCCTAGGACATTAGAAAGGACGAGAAAAGGCTTGCGACTGGTTAATATTGTATATGTCTTTGATTCCAGTGCTTTTCTATGCTTGATCCATGACTTGGTCACATTTGGAACTTTTTTATCATTTTCTATAACATCTATTTGAAAATTGACTGCAACATATCCAATTGAGATTATTTGTTCAACTGGATAATAAACAATTTCATTATATTCAGGACTTATTAAATAAAAATTCAAATATATCTATCATCCCTTGACAAATCTTGATACTTCTTGTATGAATATGTCATTAAATTTCAAAATTTCAATCAAATCTTTTTTTGGATATATCAAATCCAAAAATCTATAATCTGCAATAATCTTTATAAACGATGGGTTTCCTCATTCCATGGATGTTACTCTAGGATAAACATTATTTCCTTAAGAGATGAAATATGAATCACATATTTTTATTTCATAAACGATTCTGACTATTTTGGCATATTATTCTTTTTTTGAATCTAAAGGGATCATATCATCTTGGTCTCCGTCTATGATACTAATAGTTTTGGAATCTTTTTTATCTCCATATATCACTAATTTTTTAGTTGTTGTTGAATCTCCTTTTTTATCAATTAGTATGATGTCGCGTCTGGGTCCACTGCTGCCTCCAGCTATCCCTGGTTGGAATTGATTTTAAAAAACTCATTTTTGAGCTCTTTGGTATATATGTCTCAGACAATATATCTTTTAGTTGTGCTGCAATAACATCAACTTAATTTTTTAGTTCTATGGTTCTTTATGATGCTCAGTAGCGATATTTAACAATATTTTTATATTTGAGTTGAATATCTCTGAGATTTGTGTTGCTCTAGTATTTATGTTTTCAGATTCTTCTTTAAAAAAATCTGTCCTTTTTTATATATGTATGATAGATTGATATAAATCCATGACTCTAGCTTTATTCATCAGCAAATTCTATGTTTTTATTGGGAAAATCTGTAAGAAAATTATTAACTCCTTTAATATGAATTATATCAAAATTATAAAATGTTAAATAAGTTTGTCATCTATGGAGCCTTCTGCATTGAGGTTCTGATGGTAGTTTATTACTAACTAATCCTGCAACTTGAGAATTATCAATCTCAATAGTAAATTTCCTGGATAGTAAGAATAATGAGAACTTTTTTATTCATTTAATAATTGTTAGTAATTCTTTCTTATAAGTGGTATAATTTATTTTTGTTTGATTAAAAGTTCCGCTTGAATATCTACAAATCTCATTTAAATTTGTTTTTAATAATGCTGCCCAATATTTATTTGAGGTATTAGTGTTAACAATCAAATTATCTTTTTATCTGGTAATCTTAATTTTGGTAAATTTTTACGTTCTTTTTTTAATGATTTAACTATTCTGTACGTTCTTCATTCCATTCTTTAGTATTTATTTTTCTAAGTAAAATTTGTATTTTATGTCTTTTCTTAGAAATGTTTTCAATAAATCCTTCTTTTTTTACATTCATTTATGAATTGGATTAAATGATATCTATGTCTTTCTTTACTATTTGAACATGTTAGTATATCATCTATATAAACAATCAGAAACTCATTAAACTTTTTAAATATATTATCCATTTTTCTTTGAAATATTTGTGGTGCATTTTTTTAATCCAAATGACATTATTAACCATTCATATTTCCCTTGAAGTGTGCTAAATGCAGTATATTGTATACTATTTTCTTCAATTTTTATTTGCCAAAATCATGATTTACAGTCAAATTTAGAATAATGTTGTTTTCCTTTTACAATGTTTATTAAAACTTCTTTATTTGATAAAAAAACATCTATCAAATTTAGCATATTTATTTAATTCTTTATAATTTATAACCATTATGATTTTTCCTCTAACTTGTTCAGAATGTTTCATAACCATATAGGCTGAATTACTATGAGGTACATTACTTGGTCTAATAAGTTTTTGTTCTAATAATTCTTTTATTTGATTTTTGAATTCTTATGTATTTTCTATAGTATATATCATTGGTCTAACTCTTATTATAACATTTTCTGTTAATTTTATTTTGGCTTTAGGGTGATGTAATTTCCAAAATAATAATGAATTTTCTCTATAAACTTTTTTTAGTTGTTCAATAATTTTTTCTATTCTCGTTTCTATTCTTATTTTTAGGACTTTTGTATGCAATATTCTTTTATTTTTTATTTCATTAAATATGATTGATTTTTTCTCCCATTTATCATCACGTTGGACTGGCTAGACTCTATAAGCTTTAAATTCTCTTGAAATTTTTAATAAGTGCGAGCAGAGTGTTTGTAACATTATCATATAATTATTTTGTTTATAATATTGAAATTGTTGTATAAAATCATTACCTAACAATATATAACATTCTAATTTATCATATTTATATACTTTATTTATTTATTATAACTTATTTACTTCCAAGAATTATATTAACTTTATCAACACTATTTATTATCTGGGTACTTTCTCCTGTAACTTCGGTTATTTTTATATTACTATTATTATTCCATGATTTTATCAAAAAAAATTTAAATATTGTTATATTACTTCTTGTATATATTCAAGCACAAATTGTTGTGTTTGTTTCTATAATAGTAACTTATATATAAACAGATAATGAAAAACTTATCTGTTTATTCATTTAATTCTTTTTACATAATATAGTTTGTCTATTATGAACTATATATAATCTTTCTCTTTTTATGCTATAATCTTCTAATTCATTCAGAAAACTCATTCCTAGAAGTATATAAGAGTTTATATCCATACTCTTATCTATATAACATGGTACTAAAAGGTTTATTCCTTCTATTTTTATTGGTACTTTAACTTCTAATTCTAAAATCTGTATTTCTCCATCAAAATTTACATATCTATATGGATCAGTTTTATGAGTTATTTATCCTTTATTTTTGATTGAAACTATATGACATTCACTATCTCCTGTATCTATTAATATATTTGGTCCATTTATATATTCTCTTTCAATATAATATTCTTTTTCTATTTTCATATTCTCCACATTTCTGTAAAGTTTTA